AAAAGAATACCTTGGCATCTTCCTAACCAGAGACGTGAAAGACCTTTACAAGGAAAACTACAAAACACTGCTCAAAGAAATCAAAGATGACACAAACAAGTGGAAAAATATCCCATGCTCATGGATTGGAAGAATCAACATCGTGAAGATGTCCATCTTACCTAAGGCAATCTACAAATTCAATGCAATACCCATCAAATTACCAGCAACATTCTTCTCAGACCTAGAAAAAACAACACAGGAATTCATATGGAAACACAAATGACCAAGAATAGCCAGAACAATCCTCAGCAAAAAAACAAAGCAAGAGGTATCACATTATCAGACTTCAAACTTTACAATAAAGCTACAATAATCAAAACAGCTTGGTATTGGTACAGGAACAGGCATACACACCAATGGAATAGAATTGAGATTCCAGAAGCAAAACCTCAATCTCTCACCCAACTCATCTTCGACAAAGCCTCCACCACCTACCATTGGGGAGAGGAGAAAGTATTCAGTAAATGGTGCTGGGAAAACTGGCTGACCACATGCAGAAGATTGAAACAGGACCCCTATCTATCCCTATACACAAAAATTAACTCCAAATGGATCAGAGACCTAAATGTAAAACCTCAAACCATAAGTACCTTAGAAAATGAAGGACATACCCTCATAGAAATTTGGAACTGGCATCCAATTCCTGAACAAAACCTGAAACCCACAGGTCATAAGAGAGAAGATAGACAAGTGAGACCTTATTAAACTGACAAGCTTCTGCAAAGCCAAAGAAACCATTAAGAGAGCAGGGAGACAGCCTACAGACTGGGAAAAAGTATTTGCCAACTCCAGGTCTGACAAAGGCTTAACATCTTGGATCTACAAGGAACTCAAACGTGCTGAAAAGAAAAAAGCAAACAACCCCATTATAAAATGGGCAAAAGATATGAACTTCACAAAGGAAGACATATGAGCAGCCAACAGACACATGAAGAAATGTTCAACCTCACTAATCATCAGGGAGATGCAAATCAAAACCACACTGAGATACCACCTAACTCCAGTCAGAATGGCAATTATCAACAACTCAAAAAATAACAGCTGCTGGAGAGGGTGTGGTGAAAAGGGAACACTTCTACACTGTTGGTGGGAGTGTAAACTAGTGCA